GTGATCGCCCTCGAGCGCCGGACAGTGGTGCCCCTACGCCGCGGTGCTGACGACCGTGCCAAATTGCTGCTTGGTGTATGCGAAACCGCTATCGGCCCACATGCGTCTGTGACCCCAGCGCCGCGTTGAGAATACGGTAGCATCCTCGCCACGCTACATCTTGTTCTCAGAGAAGCCATTCTCCTCGCCGCTACTGGTGCCGGGGCACTCGAGCCCATGATAATGTCGATGCCCAGGTAGCCGAACGACTTCCTGAGCGGCACGCGCTTCATGAGAGCATCTGCGTAATCAGGAAGGCGCCGACGGGGTCGACCAACGCCCCCCCGAGCACACTTTCCAAGATTGAGTGCAGGTCCAACTGATTTGTCTGAAAGCATGGTGACGTTCAGAATCTCGTTCAGATCTGCCCAGCTCTGAGCCATGACAAAACATTCGTCAAGATAAGAATAGTGCACCGATGTTGGCACTGATCTGGCCACGGCGGCGTGCCACAAGGTTGACGTCAAGTTGAAATAGAAACACGCCAGGGGGCAACCCTGCGGCACTCCACACAAATGATTTCGCTCAACCATACGTCTGTGGGCTCGCCGTCGACGAATAGCATCCGCGTGAGCGTTTGATACATATCCAGCACATGCGCGCACACTGGCAAGTCGAGGTGCTCGATGAGTTGTCGTAGATTGCCCAGGTCAAGCCGGTCGAAACACTGGGCCAAATCCATGCTGAGAACGAACCACGGTTCGTCGAGTCCCAACCTGGCCTTGGCAAGCCGAGTTTGGATTTGCCACAGGATGTCCGGGCACGAGTGGTTAGGGACCGCCCCGGCGAGCCCAGGCGGCTTCCACGTCAAAAGCCATTCGTTGAGGTGAGCTGCATGGCGACGCGCCCACAGCCGATAGAGCACAGGGAGCACCGTCAGAGGGCGACGGTCGTCCTGAGCTGATTCTGGCCGCTTCGGGATCAGGGTCACTCTCGCATGCCGCCACCCGTACTGAAGGAGCCGCCCACGATCAGCCTGATTGTACAGCTCCGCCAAGCAATCCAGAGAACCTTGATGCAGTCTTTCCACCCAGTCCGCCTGGTTCCCATCCAGCCCGGCGCTGCCACTTGGCAGGTACTCAAGAACATGTTCAGCACGCCAAGGGGCAGGGGGCACGTAGGCAGGAACGTCAGGAAAAAGAGTAGGATCCAAAGGTACACGAGGACGTGGAGGAAGATCAGCCCGGTGCTCGCGCAGCCCTGCTGGGTCAAAGCATTGCCGTTGAAAATCGGCTCGAAACCCAGGAAGATGTCGAGTTTGAAAGACACCTGAATTCCATTTGGTGGCCAATCCCAGGCCCAGCGTACGTGCAAGATCCCGAGGGGAAAACGCCACAGCACCGAACTTGGGAAGAATGGGTGCGGTCAGGCTGGACACCTTCGCGCGCACCCATCTCGCCGCCCCACCGCGTGTGAGGATACGTTCCCGCCATTCGCGTATCCGCTGCACGTTGGCGTCATCAATGATCTCGTTGATACAGGCAATCGTGTGATCAGCATCGTCAGATCGAGCATCAAATCGTTGCTGGCGATACGTTTTCCAAAGTCCCGCCAGCTCGCGTGCTCTGGCCCCTGCGTTCCAGCTGCAGCCAGAAGGCTGCCTGACGACTTGCGAATGAGAGGCCGCCGACGCTGTCCGAAGAGAGTGCCGTGGAAATTGCCGTCGCCGCATCATGGTCCCAGGCACCCACATCCCACATCCCATCGCAGTGTTTCGTGCCTTGTGTCACATCCCACATGTGATTCATTATTGCATTGCGCTTCTTTGGCGATGGCGCGGCGGCGCTCAGTTCTCCGACATGAAGTCCACTGTTTGCGAGCGCGCGACGGCCACGGCAACCGCGCCCCGTGCACCATCTGCGGCGTCGAGAATGTGCCACGCCTGCCACGTGTTGCGAGCCTGCGGCGGATACGGCGCCCACCCCTTGTGCACACCTGTTGTGGTGTCGACGAAATGCCAGCCTGCCACGCCTTACGTTCATGGACCTCCCCTTGCGCACCCCCCTTGGTGTCGAGAAAGCGCCACGTTTGCTAGGCCTGGCGACACTGGGGAGATAGAGGCCGCGGTGAGGGGCCACCCTCTGCGCACCCCTCCTTGGTGCCGAGCAAGTACCACGCCTGCTAAGCCCCGCGACATTGGCGCGTATGAAGACAGCGGTAAGGAACCACCCGTTGCGTACCCCTTCTGGTGTCGAGAAAGTGCGGCGCCTGCCCGGCCTCGCGACACTGGGGCGACAGAAACCGCGGTGGGGGAGCACCCTCTGCGCACCCACTCTGGTGTCGTGAGATTGCCACGCCTGCTGGGCCATGCGACATCGGCGCGTATAGCGACCGCGGTGAGGGACCACCACATGCGCACCCCCTTCTGGTGCTAAGAACCTGCCACGTTTGCTAGGCCTACGACACTGGCGCGCATAGGGGCCACGGTGAGGGACCACCCCCTGCGCACCCCATTTGGTGTCGAGGAAGTACCACGCCTGTAAGGCGATGCGACCTTGGCGCGTATAGACCGCTGCGAGGGACCACCCCTGCGCACCCCCTGATGGTGTCGAGGGAATTACTCGCCTGGTAGGCCCTGAACGACCGACCTGAAGTATGAGTGCCCTTTGTGTGTATGATGTGTGTGGCTTGATGCATACGCCTGAGGTTTATGGTGCGTTGAATGTGTATGTGTGTGTGTGCACGGATAGGGTGTTCGCACGATGTGTATATGTGCGTGTGCTGGCGAGGGGGACGAGGAGCAGGAGAAGGGGAAATGACCGGACGCGACGAGAGAAAACGCGAGTGGAGAAAAACAACATGTTATTCAGCATTCGTGGAAGTCGAATGGATCACGGGGCGCCCGCGCATGGTCCAGAGTTTGGTGCAACGTGCATGTTGTATTGTTTCTGTCGCAAGTGATGACAGGCGGTTCCGACAGCGCACGCAGCATGCAATATGCCAGCCCCCCCTCCCACCCCCGCCGTCCTTGCCAAAAACAATGCAAAGTGATGGCGGGGCGTCCGCGCACAGGAATGGCGGGGGGGTGTTGTCATAGTCCTGGATTCGTCGCTGGACGGGCGGGGGAGGGGGTGTATATTGATCAGGCAGAGTGGTGACCCCTCCCCGAAGTGGAAGAAGGAGGTCAGAAGATGAAGTGCCCAAAACCCAACACCACTCACGCCCTAAAGCCTGGTTGGATTGTGGTATCTTCCCCCTTCTCCCCGTCCTCGTCCTCCGACTCGGCCCCAGCACTTGTTCTGGAGCGTCATTCGATCATGGCTTCGGTGAGAGTCCTGCTGTCTTGACGATGCACCCCTTGAAGGCTCAACACCAGGACAAGCGCTGAACCCCAAGATGCACACGGGGAGTGGTTTGCCTCTTTTCACCCACATGCTACTCGTCACGCATCCTCTCCCCTTGTCTGTTCTCCGTGATGGTTCCCATGCTATCCCCTTCCATCTCCGCCCATTTCTTCCTCCCTCGCCCTCCCATGTCTCTCGTCCTCCCTCACGCTTCGTGCTCCATCCCCTCATCATCCCCTCTTGTCCTCCGTCGTCATTCCTCCTTCCGCCTCCATTCCCTCCCCACTCTTCCCTCGACCCCACCTCCACGATTCCTCGTCTTCCTTCTGCCCCTCCCCCCTTCCCCCTTCTCCTCCCTCCGCCCTGTTCCTCCCTTCTCCCTCTCCCCTGGCCCTCGCTCCCCCCCCCCCCCCCCCGGTCTCGTCCCCCTCTCCTCGCTCCCCCGAAATTGGCGGGGGAGTGGCGCGACATAGCGGAGTACAGACATGATGGATGGCGCCGAATTGATGTTTCTGATGCCTTTTTCTAATCCGAACGTTCCTGGTCCTTCAAATGGTGTTCTCGCTGCAGCGTGGACTTCATGTTTGAATCGGTGCGTTGCTCCAGTCGGTCAGAAGAGCGCTCTCTCCCCAGCGCTGGCCACTTCTCTGGATCCGAGTTAATCCTCATCGTGGTCGCCCCAATCCATTCCCTTCTTCTGCTTTCCCTTGGTTTTTGTTGACGCTTCGCGTCATTATCCCCACCAGCCCATCCAGAAGCGATGCCCATGAGAGTTGACAGTGGAAGAGAGGAAGAGACACGCATAGTCAAACTGCGAGGAAGCTTGGGAGGCTTCGTGGTCATCTCGAGCCGTCTTGGAGCGGTCTCGGGGCCGCTTGGAGCATCTTGGGTGCCATTTTGAACCAGCTTGGGCTATCTTAGCCGTCTTGGAGGTTATCTTGGGCTCTCTGAGGCTGGTCGGGGCCTCTTGGGGGCCTCTAGGGTGCCGTTTCGAGGCCTCTTGGGGCGATCTTCGGGCCCTCTTGGGAGCCTCCTGGGAGCCCTGGAGGGCCTCTTGGAGCCATCTTGGATGCGGTCGGTCAAAAGAGTGGGGGTATTAGATTTGCGTCCCACCCTCGGGGGTCACGATCCTCGTTAGCGGTGGCAAAAAAAAAACCTCCCAGGGTCCGAAAAAGAACATTCTGACACATCGCGACCCCTCACAAAAATCCTCAGGGAGGGGAGGGGGAGGGTTCCCCTCCCCGAAGGGAAGAGGGGTTTTGGAAGAGGAAAGAGACCCTCCTTAGACCACCTGTCGCCCAAAGGGCTGGTGGGATTATGCTCTTCCCACTCCTTACATTCCAGTTCCCGCTGATGCTGTTCGTCCTCGTCCTCCTCGTCCGTCCTCATCCTTCTACGTTTCTTCATGCTCGTCACCCTGCTCATCCGCCACCTCCCCCTCCTTCCCGCGTTCTCCTAGTACGCAGCTCCCCTCTCCCGATTATGAATACGGCGGGGAGTTCCAGGTCCGCTATGACACGCGTCCGCGGATAGTGAAACCATCTGCGCAATCAGAAGGAATGGATGGGAGAAGTTTGATGTTAGATATGGCGCGAGCGCACTCAGCTTGCCCAAGCTCCCTCTCTTGCCTCCCCTCGTCCAGGTCGTCGTCGCCCTCGCCGCCCTTCCCCGACAGAGGACGGACCCCGTCGAGTGGTCGAGGCTCTTTGCCGAGGCCGCGGCCTCAGGGGGTGGGCGCTCACGGCGACGACAACGACGCCGCCGCCGCCGACGACGACGACGGCGACGGCGACGAGAGCCGCTCGAACGACGACGACGACGACGACGACGACGACGACGACGACGACGACGACGACGACGACGACGACGACGACGGCGGCGGCGACGGCGACGGCGGCGGCGGCGGCGGCGGCAGCATTTGCGGCGTTCGCGGCGACGGCGACGACGATGGGCACGAGGACGGCCACGGTGACCAGGTGGAGTGGGTGGAGGAAGAGGGAGGAGGGAGGAGGAGGAGGAGGAGAAGGGTGGAAGCAGGAGGAATGTCGAGGAAAGGGATGGAGGCGGGCGGAGGAGGCGTCGTGGCCTGAGACGGAGGAAGAGAATGAGGAGTGAGAAGGATGAGGGGGAGGAGTATGAGTTGAAGCGGGGGGAGGCGGAAGAGGCAGGAAGAGAAGGAGGAGGACGACGACGGTGCGATGTATGTCAGTTTAATGTCTAATGTTTGCCAGCGTGGACCCCAAATAGGTTCGATGTTGAACCCTCTGTGTGCCATTTACGTGGTGCAAGCAATGTGGCGCAGTCTACATGGGGCGATCGCGATCGATGTGGTGTCGTATGTGCAGCCCAAGACAGGCAACCTAGTCCATGCTTGCAGCGCATGTGCCGCGATATGCGTGGTGCATGCTGTCGGGCGCAGCGCCAGACAGCGCACCAGGCGGAAGCCGAGCAAACGTCAGCCAACGCACAAGGCGGCGACGGGCGTCCCCGGGGCGAGACCCATCCGCATCTTGCCTCAGCCTTTCATCTGCCCTCCCTCCCCCCCACCCTTCCCTCCTCCCTGACGGGATTGGGCAGAGGTGTCCACCCTGACTACAAGAGAGTCGGGGTCACTGCCGATCTCGAGACGATCTGCCGCCTATGAGGGGCCTGTGGCTGTGGATATTAGTAAATCGAGAGGGAGAGAGAGAGAGAGAGAGAAAAAAAAAAAAAAAAAAAAAAAAAAAAAAAAAAAAAAAAAAAAAAAAAAAAAAAAATCCTCCCTCCTCGTCGGCCCTCCCTGGGGGGAGGGAAGGCGAGGCTGTGCCGACGAGGGAGGAGGGAGGTCCTCCCTCGTCGTGGACTTCACATGGTTGAAGAGGTCCGTGCGTTTCTTGGACTCCACACCCGTCGATTGTTGAGAGCAGATTTGGGGAGATCCCAAGATCCCAATCTACCTCAAGCGCCTTCATACTTTAAGGGGTTGATATGCTTTCGCTGTATGTTGTTGTTCTCTGGGAGGGCCTGAACCCAATCTACTTGATCCGCCTTCCTATTTCATGTGTTGACCTACTTCTTCCGACCGACGTGTATGTTCGTGCCGGGGAACGCGAACACACACACACACACACACACACACATACACACAATTACACACACACGCACGCACGCACGCACGCACGCACGCACGCACACACACACACACACACACACACACACACACACACACGCACGCACGCACGCACGCACGCACGCACGCACGCACGCACACACACACACACACACACACACGAGCCCCTCTGAGATGTGATGTTCATGCCTCGGTCAGTTGCTCTCGTGGTGGCCGGACGTACGCCCTCGGTAGTGCGGCACGCACACACGCACACCAACGTAGTCGCCGACAGGTGGCACGCAGGCCCTGGCTTTTGAGCGAAGGGAAGTGGATCCAGCAAGGGCTACGGTGGAGCGGGGCTGCTGAGCCGTGCCGCGCCGAGCAACAGCTGAAGGTGTCGGAGCGAGGGGGCGCGCGGGTGCTGGGGAAGAGGAGCGGAGCCAGTTAAATGGGAGGAAGAAAATAGCTGCAGTCAGTCCGCACAGGAAGGATGTGTGATGAAGGGTATAGCTGAAGGGTGGAGGCATCCTTGCCATACCCGGGCGCTGCAGCATGCTCTTGAGCGCGTGTTGTTCCCAGCTGCCTTGCATATCTTGCTTCTCGCCGACGCGCGCCGCAGTACCAGGGCCTGACTTCTTCTCTTGTGTTGGGCCCTGCGCTCCGGACCCTGCTTTTTTTCGGATCGTTGCCACCCAGACGCGACGGTGCAAGCAAGCCGACGCTTGTCCGACGTCAAAAAGCTTGGCGGCACAGGCCGGGCCTCCCTCCCTCCCTCCCTCCCTCCCTCCCTCCCTCCAGGCTGCGGCGGCGAGGGGCTGCGGTGGCGCGCCGTCCCGCGCGAAGGGGGGAGGTCGGAGCGGAGGGAGCTAGCTGGCTACCTGTGGCGGAGGGGGAGCGTTCTGCTGCGAGGGGAGGAGCGGGGCGGGCCTCGGGCGGCGCGGCGCGCTCTTGCCCTGCCAGGGGCGGACGACTTGCGCAGGGCACGGGGGCCGCGGCGCCTGTGCCGTGCCGAAATTTTGGCATCGCTCGGACGTGTGCAACTTTTCTCGGCGGGGCCATCGAGGAGCATCTTGGATCATCTGGCAAAAAAAGAGCGCGCACGAAATCGGAAAATGCACGTGGAATGGTCGCCCGATCGATGGCGAGGAAAGGAAGAGTTCGGAGTTACAGACGCAGAGCACCAGAAAATAGGGTCGGGGAAGAGGGTGCGCATTGCCTGAGGGGGGAGGCAGCCGGGAGAGGAGGGGCGGGGCCTGCGGGGGATGGCGGGCGCGGTTCCGATGCCGCGTCGAAGCAAGAGGTCGGGGCGATTTGCTTGCTGCGGGAGGGTTGCGCGCGGGATGGGGGGGGGGGGGGGCGGTCCTCGGTGAGGCGGGGGCGCTCTGCCCGCTGGGGGGGGGAACTCGGCTGGGCGCGGGGGAGGCGGGGCGAGGTCCCGGTGCCGTACCGGAGCAGAGAGGCCGGGCGGCGGCCAGGGCGGAGGCCGAAGCCACGGCCACGGGCGGCGGCGACGGGGCGGCGGCGGCCGCGCCGCGGCGGCGCAGGGCAAGCTGTCCGAGATCATACCGCGCGGGGGCCTCAAGGTGCGGTACAGGCGGGCTGCGGCCGGGGGGCGGCGGCGGGGGGCCCTCTTGTTTGGCCCCGCCGCCGCCGTCGCCGCCAGAGTGCTCCGCCCCAGTCGCCTCGTGGCCTCGTCGGCCCCCGGTGGCCCGACGTCCCGTTCGCGGTGCCTGCCCCGCCCCCCCCGGCGCCCCCCTCTTCCCTTCCTCCCTTCCCTTCCCCCCTTCTTCCCTTCCCCGTACTCCCTTCCCCTTCCTCCCTCCTCCCTTCCTCCTGTCCTCCCTCCCTTCCCCTCCCCTGTCCTCCCCTTCCCCTTCCTCCCGGCCCCCATGTCCCCTCCCTCCGATGCCCCCGCCGCCGCTCCCATGCCCGTCCATATGGTGCGTGCCTCCCTCCGCCCTGTCCCTTCGCACCCTCCTCCTGCCTCGCGGCCCCCTCCTCGCCAGTGTCCCGCCCCCTCTGCTGCCATCCCCCTGCCCAGCCTCCCCCATCTCCTTCCGAGGCCCCACTCGCTGCCAACTTCCAACTTCTCCCTGCCCGCCCTTTCCTTCCGAGATGCTCAGAGCCGCTGGACGTGTTGGAGACATGGGCCATTCAGCCTTCCGACACTCTAGCCGGTGCTGTTTCTGCTGCACCCAGGGCGGTTCCGTTGCTCATGTTGTCCTTCTTTGGTTTCCCTCTCTCACGCCTCTTGCCCGCCGTCCGCTGTTCTGCTCCACCCTGGGCTGCTGCGTCGCGCATGTCCTTCCTTGCCTTCCCCCTCTCGCGCCTCCTGCCCGCCGTCCGCTGCCGGCCCTCCCGTTCCAGACTTCGACAGCTCGGGTTCTTCGAGGCCGCCTCTCTTGCCGACGGTCGTGTGTGGCTCAGCCGGCGGCCTCTGGGCGCCGAACCTGGCGGGAGGCTCGAGGCGCGATTGGCTCGAGCCCTCCGGCGTCCTTCCGGGCGGGGCGAGGCTGGCGGGGGGGGGCGATGTGTCTCCCTCCACCGCTGCCTCGTCTTCCTCGTACTCTTCCCTCCTCCCCAGCTCCCGTCTGCTTCTGCTGCCTCCGCACCCCTCTCCACTAGAACAAGGAAACTGCTGGAAACAAATATCCTGCCTCCTCACGCCTCTTGCATCTTCGTCCCTGAGCTCCAAGTACATCCGTCCATATCTCTCCACTCTCTTGCGCCTGCGCCATCGTCCACCCTTTTCCTTCCTCCGACTCCCTGCTCTTCCTCCCTCCTCGCTTCCTCAGCCTCGCCCCTTATTCCTCCCTCCTTCCGTCATCATTTCCTCCTTTCTCGTTCCTCCCCCCTCCTCCTTCCTCCTCAGCCGGTAGACCTATAGGAACCACAACAAAGGCAGTTTTTTTCCCCCCTCCCTCCGCCTTCCTCTGCCACCCCGTTGGAAACCTCCTGAAACCTCCTGCAAATTTCAGAATACTCACCACAAGACATTGTCTTGCCTCTCTTTAGCTGTCTCACACGTTTCACTACGGCGCCCGCCTGCGACGCCCTAGCCGGCGACAGCTGCAGGTCCGAGATTCCGATGTTCACCACAAGGCAAGAGCATACCAGAAACTCTCCTGCGCCACGCGTCGTCGTCCTCCTCCTCCTCCTCCACCTCCATTCCCTTTCCTTCTGAATAACTCCTCCCCGTCGCACCCCGAGGCTGGTCGAAAGAGCGGGCCGGGCGTTTCGCCTGAGATTTTCCCACCGAAGCTTGGAAATTGGCAACAGTTTCACAAATGGAGGGGGGCTCGTTTTCAAAATGTGGCTGTCGCCTCAGCGCCGCGCGCATTTGTTGTCAAAATGTGCGAGAGATTCACGGATTGAGGGCGGCTGGTTTTCAAAATGTAGTTCTCGCCTTAGCGTCGCGCGCATTCGTCATTTAGATTTGCAAGGAGTTTCACGGATTGAGGGCGGCTCGTTTTCAAAATGTGGTTATCCCCTTATTGCCGCGCACATTCGTCATTAAACATGTGCAAGATTTAACAAATTGAGGGCGGTTCGTCTTCAAAATGTGGTTCTCGCTTTCGCGCCACGCACATTCGTTTCAAGAAGCTGTAAGAGTCTCACGGGATCCCATGGGCAACGCACCACAAATTGCGTTTTGAAAGAATTTAGGATTGTGAGGGTGCAACATTAATGCTGGTTCGCGGTGTTGATATCCCAGGATTGGCGTTCTGGCACGATTCAGGATCGTGGACAACGCAACAGTCAAGTTGATCCGTGGCGTTAGAGTCCCGAGAATGGTGTTTTGGCATGCGTCAGGGTCTTCAAACGGTTGTCTCCCAACGAGGCAGTTCCCTCAGTGGACATGAACCCTCGTAGGGGCCTATGAAGAGGGAGCCCAGAGGAAGTGCTTATTCCAACATCGTTGATGAGTCTTGGGTTTACGTACAATGGTTATCCTCCTTCTCTTGCTCCTCCTCCTCCTCTTGCTCCTCCTCCTCCACCTCCTCTTCCTCCTCCTCCTCCTCGTCTATTCCGTATCCTTATAAATACTTTCTCCGCGTCGCTCCCCGAGGCCTGTCGAAAGGGCGGTCTGGGCGTTTCGCCTGAGACTTCCTCGTTCTGATCTTTAGAAAGTGACAACAGCTTCACAGATGGAGGGCGGGCCGTTTTCAAAATTATCCCGGCAAAGCAACCTAACAGCGATGTGTAGAAGCATAGCTGGAAACATTGCCTGTGGCATTCATGTAAGAGTGCTGTTGTAGAATTATGGTGTTCTCGCAGTCGCATTCGGATTCGCAGTGGCAGTCGCAGTGGCAACATCAGCGGCAGTCGCAGTGGCACTGCCAGTAGTTGCAGTAACAATAGCTACACTAGCAGCAGCAACAGCAGCAGCAGCACTAATAGTAACAGTAGTAGTAGCAGTAGAAGTAGTAGTGATGGTAGTAGTGGTAACAGTGAAGTAGTAGTTGTAGTGTGTGGAGTGAACGAGTAGGAGTGATGGGAGCAGTGGTAGTAGCAGTAGAAACACTGCTTTCGATAACGGTATCTCCAAATGAGATCTTTGTATAAATGCATTGGTGTCTAAACAAGACACTGCTATCAACGGATGTGATTCCAAACGAGACACTGCTATCAACGGGTTGAGCCTCAAACGACACACTTGCATCAATGAGTGTAGCTCCAAAACAGGCACTCCCATGAACGGATTTAGTGTGATGTCGTAGTAGTAGTAGTATGGGCACGGACCCGTAAGACCTGAGTCTCCACCGGGGTGCTCGGCGAAGCCATTGATGATGATGATGATGATGATGATGATGATGATGATGATGATGATGATGATGACGTGATGATTGAGGAGGATGATGGCATGATGACCGCGCTACTTGGATTTGTTCTGTCCGTCTCTCTCGGCCTCCAACCAAATCTTGGAAGACAGTTGGCTCCGGGCATTCAAAATGTGGCCCGGGAGTGGAGTTCTGGGAAGTGGATGAGCACGAAGTGGCCTACGGCTGGCTCCGGGCATTCAAAATGTGGCCCGGGAGTGGAGTTCTGGGAAATCCCAGAGCACGAAGTGGCCTACAGTTGGCTCCGGGCATCCATAATGTGGCCCGGGAATGGAGTTCTGGGAAGTCGAAGAGCACGAAGTGGCCTACAGTTGGCTCCGGGCATCCAAAATGTGGCCTCCGAATGGCAGTTCAAAATGTGGCCCGAAGAGGAAGGAGTTCAGAACGGAGCACTTACAGTTGGCTCCGGGCATTCAAAATGTGGCCCGGGAATGGAGTTCTGGGAGGTCGAAGAGCACGAAGTGTGCGACTGTTTGCTTAAAACGAGCCCGGCCCTCGCCTGTCCGGCTCCCGCCACGACCCTCTTGGGGAGTCATCAGATGCTCTCTTTTGACCCCATTAGAAACCTATCAGTCTTCGCTGTTAGGTAATGTGGTTCTCGCTTTAGCGCCGTGCACATTCTTGTCGACAAATTGGAAGAGCTTCGCGCAGCGGGGCCAAGGCGTCTTCCAAATGTGGCTCTCGTCTTAGCGCCGCGCACATTCGTTGCAAGAGCTTCGCGGATTGAGGGCGGCTGGTTTTCAACATGTGGTTCTCGCTTTAGCGCCGCGCACCTTCACTTGAATGACTTGCCATAGTTTCACGGATCGAGGGTGGTTGGTTTTCAAAATGTTGTTCTCTCTTTAGCGCCGCGTACATTCGTTTTTAAACAAGCTCATGGGTTCAGCAGATTGAGGACGGGCCGTTTTCAAAATGCGGTTTTGCTTTCTGGAAACTGCAAAAGGCTTCACGGATTGAGGACGGGCCGTTTTCAACATGTCGTTATTGTTCCAGCGCCGCGCAGATTCGTTCTGAATGTGCTCAATTATGTATACACACAAGGCTGCCGTGGCGCTTCGCGCCATGCACCTTGGTCCTTGAAGTGTGGCATGGAGGCGGAATAGCAGGAAGGCCAAGCCGACAATTTATCGATAATTATTTGTTGCCATTTTCCGGCGTCGTCGCTACAGTAATGTTATTCGTTATCTTTCTTCCATGTTTCTTTTCCTCATGGTCGCCATACCTTGCGCATTCTCCCCATCCTCCTCAACTCTTCTTTGCGGAGACTCCTCCTTGGAGGGCTTCTGGGGGGCTCACAAAAGTTGTTTCAGGCTTTCTCAAGGCTTCTGGAGGCCTAGTGGGCGTATTCTGGGGGCCTCTGGGGGCGTCCTCGGGCCACCCTGCCTCCAACCGCGGTCTCCCTGAACGACGGGGTCACGATTTGGAAAGCTTCGGAGGGTGTCTTGGGGTCATATTGGGCCGCCATGGGGCTCTCTGAGAGCCATCTTGGACCCGTGTTGTGCCGTTCTGGGGCTCTCTTGGACTGCCTGGAAGCCCTTTCGGATGGTTGTGGGGCGATGTTGGAGCCTCCCAGGCGGCTTCGGACGCCCAGAAGACCGCCGTCTTGGAGCGTCGGGAAGCCGAAAAGAGGACAAGCCCCAAAATTCACCAAAAAACAACAGAAAATTAATGATGTTTGCCTCTTGGGGCCTTCTTGGGAGTGCTCTTGGAGGCCTCTTTGGGGCCGTCCTGGAGGCCTCTTGGGCCATCTTGAGGTCACGTCGGTCACTCTTGGAGCGCTCTTGTGCTGTCTGGGGTGTTTCTGGGACGTCTCCGATGACCCCCCTGATCGCCCTAGGTGTGCTGGGAAGACTTGGCACAACGCCCTGCGAGGCCCGGGGGGCCGCTTCGAGGCCCGTCCAGAGGGTCCCGAAGCCTCAGATCCCGGGAGTCTGGTTTAAGGGGGGGGGGGGGTCCCTCCGCCCGGGCTTGCAAACATATAGGAAGAGGAATAGTTTCTTGAGGATGGTGTTTTGGCGCGCTTTGAATTATTCACACGGTTATCTTTCAACGGGGCAATTCCTTCCATGGAAATGACCATTTGTATGACCCAGAAAAATCTTGGAGGGAGGGTGTATTTCAACATGGTTGATGAGTCTTGGGTGTACCCTGGTCCTCCTCTTCCTCCTCCTCCTCCTCCTCCTCCTCCTCCTCCTCCTCCTCCTCCTCATCATCATCATCATCATCATCATCATCATCATCATCATCATCCTTTTCAGTCCCCCTGCTCTTCCCCCTGCTTGTCCTCATCGTCCTCTCTCTCTCTCTCTATATATATATAGATCTAGATATATATATATATATATATATATATATACATATATATATCCCCCGCCTCCTCTGGACTCGTCGTGGGGCCGCGCCCTGGCGTTCTGGCTGGAGCTCCAGACGGGGTGGGAGGGAACGGGGGGGGCTGGAACTCTGGCCGTGGCAGCGAGAAGGCCCCCCCGGGTGCCCCCGAGGGCGCCCGGAAGCGCCGGGCCCCGATCCCCGAGCGCCGACGTCGGCGTCGAGATTGCCCTCCCTCCGGTGTGTTTCCCCCCCAATCAGCCCCCCGGGCCAGCCGCGCGGGAGGGGCCCCCACGGCGTGTGGCCTCGAGAGCGGCGCGGCCGGGCCGAGCCCGGGCACGATGGGTTCTTTCGTGGGGCGACGTCGGCACCGCCTCTTTCTCGTCCCCGCCCTCGCCCTCGTCCTCGTCCTCGTCCTCGTTCTCCTCTCCGTCGTCGTCGCTCTCGTCGTCCTCGTCCTCGTCCGACTCCCCCCTCGTCCTCTTCAACGGGGGTGCGGGAGGCCCAAGTGGGACACGTACGAGCCCATGTTGGTCAAGGACGCGCCCGCTGGCCTTCCCGTGGCCGTCACGTTCGTCGCCGACCTCGTGGGCGGTTTCGTCGGCGGTGGCGTGCTCTCGCAGGTTTTGAGGCCGTTTCTGGACCCAGATCCACGACGATGAAATTTTCAAGATTGCGCCACTCCGCCGACCCCTTTGAGGATTGGCGGTTGTTGCGTGTTGCTCCTGAAGGACCATGGGGCGCCTTTTGAATGTTCCCTTGAGCTCTTCTGATGATCGAAGACGCCCACGGCAAATCACCGCCGCCCCCTGCCTTTGGGGAAGCGCCTCTGTGGCGAAACCTTGGCCCCCAGCTTGGCCAAGCTATCAGACTATGCGTTCCCCCAGCCGCTCTGGAAACTCTTGGGAGAGGATGAGAGGGAATATCAGGTGAGGGAGGATCAGGTTAGGGAGGAAGAGGAGGAGGGGCCTCCTGGGGCCTCCTGGGGGCTTCCTGGGAGCTTCCTGGGGGCCTCTTGGAGGCCTCTTGAGGCACTCGCGGGGCCTCCTGGGAGCTTCCTGGGGGCCTCTTGGAGGCCTCTTGGGGGCCTTTAGGGCCCTCTTAGGGGGCCTCTTTGGCCGTCTGGAGCCGTCTTGGGGGCTTCTCCAAACCGATTTGGACACCTCTTAGGATGTTTCATGGCCGTCTTCGAGGCCATCTTGGGCATTTTTGATGCCTCTTGGGCCGTCTTGGGTTCCCTCTTGGGCCCGTCTCGGGGGTCTTTTGGGCTGTTGTGGGGCCATCTTGGAGACTTCTTGGGCGATCTTGTGGGCATCTTGGGCCGCCGGAAGGTCCAAAAGAAGCAAATGTCAACACCTTGGAAAACCTAAGGACAATGATTTTGGCCTCTTCGGGCCTTCCTGGGGGACCTTGCAGGCCTCTTGGGCCGTCTTGGAGGCCTCTTGGGGGCCTCTTGGGCCGCCTTCGGTCATCTTGAGGCGGGCGTCTTGGGCCGTCTGGGGTGCATCTTGGGCCGTCTTGGAGGCATCTCGGGGCCATCTTAGCCGTCTTGGAGGCCATCTTGGCCATTTTGGGGACATATTGGAGGCCATCTTAAGCCATATTGGTTGCCTTAGAGGCGATTGGGTAATTTTTGTCGGCGGATTGCGCGGCCTTTCGGGTGGCCGGCGCAATGGACCGATTTTGATTATCGAATGGCCTTCGGCACATCCCGTGACCGTGCCTGGGTTGCGGGTCGGAGGCCACGCGGATGGCAGGTGGGGTCTCGTGAGAGGCGTCTCGGGGGCATTTAAGAGGCAGTTGTTGCATCTCTTTGGGGCTGCTTTGGAGCCTCTCGGTGATTTGTTGGGGGCCTCGCGGAGCTCCTTGGGGGCCTGGTGCGGGGTTCTTGAGGCAACCAGGGATCTGGGCCCCCTCTTGGGGCTGTCCTGGGCCCCTCCTGAGCCATCTTGGGGTCTTCTTGAGCGGTCATGGGGCCCTCTTAGGTCGTCTGGGAGCCCGTCTTGGGGGCCGCTTGGGCCGTCTTGGGGCGATCTAGAAGGCTTCTGAAGCCGCCTTGGACGCTGTGAACGAACAAGAGGCGTGTCGCAGTCGTCGTCGTCGTCGACCTCCCGTCTGGAAGAGTGGGGGGTGATCGAGCCTTCTTCTTCTTCTTCTTCTTCTTCTTCTTCTTCTTCTTCTTCCTCTTCAGTTTTTGCGCCGTCCTTCTAGTACGGCCCAAAAACGTCCTAGGTTTGGAGGCTTCTTGGCGCTTCCAAGCCTTCCTGGGTCTCTTGGGGGGCGCCCTCGCCGCTATGACGCGGTCCGCCTCGAGATTTTCCTGCCGGACCGGACCGGTCCCCCTGGACAGGTCTTGACAGATATTTGTGCGGGGTTCGTAGAAGGGGGGCTATCCTGGGGTGGGGTCAGGGAACGTACCTGGCTGGATGCCTGCTTTTCTATCTTCGGAGTACCGTTTCGACCGATTTTCCTCCAACCCCACCTCTGCCCCGACCCTACATTTACGTCTTCTCGATTTGAGGAGGAGGACTGGATTGGATTGGACACTTCGTCTGCCAGGCTGCGACAAGCCAGCGAAAGGAGCGGGAGTGGATCCCCGACCCCTCCCGCCATGCACGGGACAGCGAGCGCGGCAGGCCGGGGCGGGGACCAACCCAGATTCGCTCCCCACGCCAACCTGTCAAAGCCCGCCGCCGAAGCGCTTGCAAGCGCTTGCTCCACGCGCCCCGCACGCGCCCCGCACGGGTCTACCTTCAGCCTTCGAAGGCTTTCTTGAGCACCGTGCCGCCGTGCTCCTCGAAGAACTGGGCGCCGAATCGGCGCACGCGAACGCAGCGCCTACACAGAATGTTCAGGTGGCGCATCATGAGGCCAGTCGGCGTGACTGTCCGTTTCGCTCTACAAGTCCTCAGCCCTGGTCTTCGTCGTTAACCTTGCGCTGCACCAGATAAGGACCACCATGAGCTGCTACAGCATGAGCCTGGGCAAGACCAGCACTCAGAAGTGCACGAACATCATTACCATTAATGCGTTAAAATTGAGCCGCAACTCCAGCTTGACGTACACGCTCCGTGCCGCCAGCATTGCTGGTAGCATGTTGGTCGTACAGCCCGTCGCCACCACGAACCTCTTTACAAGGACCTTTGCGATCAGGCCCAGGACCAGCGGCATGTTCTTGCGGGTTTTTTCGGGAATTGGGCCAGGCATTTGCACCCCAAGTGCATCAAACAGAACGCCCTCATCAGGAATGGGCGGAGCTGGCACAAACACGGGCGCGTGCGCGTTCATCGTCTTGGCCGGGCTGTCAGATATGATGGCGGCCATGGCCACGTCAAAGAATCGCACAGTGTACACAGTTCCGTTATGTGTTTTACGGTGTTGAAAGTGGAATCGAGGGAGATCAACATGCGACCTCGACGGCGGAGATGGCGGGCCGCCTGGGCCTGATGGGCCCGTTTTCCACCACCACCACCACAATAAGTTGGAGGGGGGAAGGAGGAGGACGACGAGGAGGAGGAGGAGGAGGAGGTGGAGGAGGAGGAGAAGGAGGAGGAGGACCCCCTCCCCCTCCAACTTATGGTGGTGGTGGTGGAAAACGGGCCCGTCATGGGCCAGCCCCTCGGGCTGCCACCCCAACACGAGGGCCGAGGTGCGCTGCGGGGTGCCGTGGAGGTCCAAGATCAGGAGGTGCGGCGCGAGCGGCGCCATGGAGGCAGCAGCCAGGATGCTGGCCGGGGCGGCGCGCGCGACGCGGAACAGGGCCTTGCAGTTTCGCCGTGCTTTTGCCAAAAGAATTTGCTTGAGACAAAATGGCTACGGGGGAGGAGGAGGAGGAGGAGGAGGAGGAGGAGGAGGAGGAGGAGGAGGAGGGAGGACGAGGACGAGGACGAGGACGAGGACGAGGACGAGGACAAGGAGGAGGGAGAGGAGGAACAGGAGGAACAGGAGGAGCGGGAGGGGGAGGTAGGGGGAGGAGACGAGGGAGGAGGGAAAAATAGGAGGAGGAGGCGGAGGAGGATGAGGAGGTAAAGGGAGGATAGAAGTTGAGGAGGAGGAGGAGGAGGACGACGACGAGGACGAGGACAGGGGCAGCAACACTCAGGAGGAGGGCGAGCAGAACGAGGACGACAAGGAACAGGACGCGCACCAGGATCGGGAGGACGGGAAGGATGAGGACGGGAAGGAGGAGGACGGAGGAGGAGGAGGAGGATGAGGAGGAGGATCAGGGCGAGGAGGAGGATCAGGGCGAGGGGGAGGATGAGGACGACGACGACGAAGACGACGACGACGACGACGAGGAACAGAACGACGGCGACTACGCCGACGGCTGCGGCCGCTGGCAGCTCGACGGCTCCCCCGCGCGCGCGCGCCCGAGGACACCCACACGGGCAAGACGGTGCAGGCGCGGAGCCCGACACCACCGCGGCCGCTTTCAGAAGCTGTCGGGGGAGGGCAGAAACCCCACCCTGACACGTCGACTACAGGGTCCGGCTTGAATAAGGAACACTTACTTTTCAAAAGGGACTCGGTCGTTCCTTTGGTTTGCATGCGTTCCGCTATCTTTTTTGGCGGCGAGCTATTCTGGTGTTCCTTCGGATTTCTAGACATTCTTGGAAAAATAAGAGCCTCGTTCCTTATTTATCTTTCCTTAGGTCAGGCTGAAAACTGTAGTGAAGTGTCCGTTCCGTTGGGGCCCGAGGGTGTGTTCACTAAACCACGTTTCACTAAAGGGGGGTCTGTCCATCCCCGAAGTTGCCTGGGGCCGTCTTGGAGCGATCTTGCAGGCCTCGTGGTCCGTCTTGGACCGGGGGAAAGCCGAAAAGGCGAGAACGCCAAAATCCTGCAACAACCAACGGAAAATCAATGACTTTGGCATCGCGGGCCTGCTTGGAAGGCCTCTGGGAGGCCTCCTAGGGCGTCTTGGAGGCCTCTTGGGCAATCTTGAGGCCATCTTGAGCGTCTTGGAGCGATCGTTCGGCGATTCAGGGCCCTCTCAGACTCTCGGACCGTCTTGGGGTCTCTTGGAGCTCTCTTGGGCCGTCTTGGAGCCTTCTTGGGCCTTAAAAAGTCATGCGACAAGCCGCGGGGAACCGCGGCAAGCCCCAGACCCCTAAAGACTTCTCGGGAGTGACGATTGGGACTTAGGGGATTGGGCAAAGGACCTGAGGACACGCCCACTCTGTGCCCAGCGGCACAGTGGCGGATAGCCAGGCAGGCCTAGGATCAGGATACATCGCTCCAGAGCGTTCGGGAGCTCTCTCAGAGCGTCCCTGAACACTCTGGAACGCCGCAACGCCCGGTACACTATTCAGAACCGCCAGATCTCCCCAAGCTATCCTGGTCCGATTTTGGTCCGATCCTGATTTCGTCTTATACTGGGAGCAGGAAAGCTCCATGACTGCACTGGAGCGTTAGACCTTGCGCTCTAAGACCGCCGGCTCCCAAAAAGGGAGGCGCTGTCTGCCGAGGGGAAGCCGGGGGGAGAGAGGGGAATGGCGGCAGGGCGGCAGGAGGACGGATGATAGAGCGGGGCGGGAGACGAGCAGGAGGAGAGGGAGGAGGGGGAGGAGGAGGGATAGCAGCTGTGGGCCTCCCCACTGCACGGGGCCTCCAGAGGAGCGGCGGGAGGGGATGGGGAGCGCGGCGGGAGGACAGGAGACAGGAGCAGGATGGAGGCTGGAGGAGCGTAGAAGGACGAGGCGGACAGGGGGGCAGAGGGGCAGGGGAGCTGCAGGAAGGGTCCCGCAGCCGTTCTTCGGCCGCGCGGCGGCGCCCGCGCAGGTGACGACCAAGCTCGCGCCGCGCACCGCGAGGCCGCCGCAGGGTCGCTGCCACCAGCCCATGCAGCGCGGGGTCGCCGACGATGGCGGCGGCGACGCCGTCGGCGGAGGCGACGGCGGTGGCGGCGGCGGCAAAAGACGACGGCGACGGCTGCGTCAGTGGCGGCGACGGCGGCGAGGGGGTGGTGACGGCGGCGAAGGGAAGCTTGCAGCGACGACGAGGGGAGAGGGAGGAAGAGGGGGGGGGGGGGGGGGGATGATGAGGTGGAGGATAACGGAGGAATGAGCGGGGAGAGGCGGGAGAGGATCATGGTAGGAGCGGGAAGGGGGGGGAGGGAGAGGATCATGGTGATGGTGAGGAGGAGGAGGAGGAGGAGGAGGAGGAAGAGGAGGAGGGAGAGGAGGAATGATGGGAAGGGGCAAACTTGAAGGAGCAGCGATGGGAAGGAGAAGATGGAGGTGGCGGAGGGGGGAAGGAAGAATGTGAGAGCAGGTGAACAGGGGATAGAAGTGGAAGGACAGAGCACCACGAGGGGTGATGGAGGAAGGTGGATGAGAAGGAGGCGCAGGAGGAGGACCCGGAGGAGCATGAGGGGAGGGGAGGGGAGAGGACAGGGAGGAGGGAGGAGGAAGAAGATAGGATATTGGATAGGGAGGAATATAGCAATAGGGCAGGAGGGAGAAGGAAGGACAGAGGAGATAGAGATAGCGGGAGAAGGAAATGGAGGAGGAACATGATGGGAGTGCTATCGTGTGGGGTGATCAGGATGATGTGCGGTGGGGCAGTTGGAGGTGGGGTGGAAGGAGAACGTGGAAGGAGGCGGGATGAGCGAAGCGGTTGTAGGGACGATCACGAAGAAAGAGGAGAAGGATGAGGAGGAGGAGGATTGATGGTTTTGCTCAGGCGGCGGAAACGAGCGGAGGATAAGAACAGATAGAGGAAAGTTACGACATAGAGAAAGAAGAGGAAGAAGAGGGGATGAGGGAGTTGGAAGGAGAGAGAGGATGGATGAATGTTAGTGTGATTGTGTGTGTGCGAATGTGTGTGAGAATGTGTGTGAATGTGTGTATGCGTGCGTTTGTGTGTGTGTGTGCGTGTGTGTGCGAATATGTGTAAGAATGTGTGTGTGTGCGAATGTGTGAGTGAATGTGTGTGAATGTGTGGCTGAATGTGTGTGTGTGTGAATGTGTGGTTGAATGAGTGTGACTATGAACGAATGTGCGTTGAATATGTGGTTGAATGTGTGTGCATGTGTGTGTTTGCGTGCGTGTGTGCGCGTCTGTGTGTGAATGTGTGTGTGCGTGTGCGTGTGTGAGTGCGTGTGTGCGGGTGTTTGTGGGTGCGTGTATGTGTGTACGTGTGTGTGTGTGCGCGTGTGTGTATATGCGTGTGTATATATGCATGTGTGCGTGCGTGCGTATGTGCGTGCGTGCGTGCGTGTGCGCGTGCGTGCGTGTGTGCGTGCGTGCGTGCATGTGTATGTGTGTGGTTGTGTGTCTGTGTCTGTGTCTAGGTCTGGGTCTGTGTCTGTGGCTGTGTGTGTGCGTGTGCATGCGTGCGCGTGTTTGTGTGTGCGTGCGTGTGTGTGTGTGTGTGTGTGCGTGCGTGCGTGCGTGAGTGCGTGTGTGTGTGTGTGTGTGCGCGCGCTTGCGTGCGTGCGTGCGTGCGTGCGTGCTTGCGTGTTGGCGTAGGCGTGGGCGTGGGCGTCGGCCTGGGCGTGGGCGTGGGCGATTGTGTGTGTGCGTCTGTGTGTGTGTGTCTGTGTCTGTGTGTGTCTGTGTGTGTCTGCGTGTGTGTGCGCGTGGTTGCCTGTGTGAGTGGTTGTGTGTTTGTGTGTGTGTTTGTGTGTGTGCTTGTGTGTGCGTGTGTGTTAGTGTGTGTTTGTGTGTGCGTTTGCGTGAGCGCGTGCGTTTGTGTGCGAGTTTGGTTTTGAATGTGTGTGTGCATGTGTGTGATTGTGCGTGTTAATGTGCGTGCGAATAAATGTGCATGTGAATGTGCGTGTGAAAGTGCGTGTGAATTTGCGTGTATGTGCGTGTGAACGTGCGTGTGGATGTACGTGCGAATGTGCGTGTCAATGTGCGTGTGCATGTGCGTATGTGTGTGAATGTGCGTGTGCGTGTGCGTGTGCGTGTGCCCGTGCGTGTGCGTGTGCGTGTGAATGCGCGTGTGAATGTACGTATGAATGTGCGTGTGAATGTGCATGTGCGTGTGCAAGTGCGTGTGCGTGTGCGTGCACGTGTGGGTGTGTGCGTGTGTGCGTGTGTGCGTGTGTGTGCGTGTGTGTGCGTGTGTGTGTGCGTGTGTGTGCGTGTGTGTGTGTGCGTGTGTACGTGCGTGTGCGTGTGCGTGTGAGTGTGCGTGTGCGAGTGCGTGTGCGTGTGTGTGTGTGTGTGTGCGCGTGTGAATGTGCGTGTGCGTGCGCGTGTGAATGTGCGTGTGCGTGTGCGTGTGCGTGACCGCGTGCGCGTGCGTGTCCGTGTGCGTGTGCGTATGAATGTGCGTGTGAATGTGCGTGTTCGTGTGCGCGTGCGTGTGCGTGCGTGTGTGTGTATGCGTGTGTGTATGTGTGTGTTCGTGTGTGTATGTTCGTGCGTATGCGTGTGTGCGTGTGTGCGTGTGTGTGTGTGTGCGTGTGAGTGTGCGTGTGCGTGGGCGTGTGCGTGTGGGTGTTCGTGTGCGTATGTGTGTGCGCGAGTGCATGTGCGTGTGCGAGTGCGTTTGCGTGTGCGTGTGCGTGTGCGTGTGCGTGCGACTGCAATGATTGTGACTGTGACTGTGCGTGTGCGTGTCTGTGTGTCTGTGCGTGTGCATGTGCGTGTACGAGTGCGCGTGCGTGTGCGTGTGCGTGTGCGTGTGAGTGTTATTGTGACCGTGACTGTGATTGTGCCTGTGACTGTGACTGTGGCTGTGACTGTGACTGTGCGTGTGCGTGTGCGTGTGAATGTGCGTGTGCGTGTGCGTGCGTGCGTGCGCCTGTGCGTGTGCGTGTGCGTGTGAATGTGCGTGTGCGTATGCGTGCATGCGTTCGCCCGTTCGTGTGCGTGTGTGTGTTCCTCTCTCTGCGCTATCCTCGCGTCTCCGTCATTCCCCTCGCCTTTCTCACACCTGCCTGCCCGTCCGCCTATCCGCACGCAGCACTTGATGCATAGCACAGGTTAGAATGTGCATTTGAGGTTCATCTTGCTACCCATCTTTCAAAGCTTCGATGGGGGCAGCTCATCGTTATATTTGCCCCGGTGGGAAGCTTCTTCCGCGCCCGGCAGGGAGACGTGCGAGGTGGAGTTCTGATGTCCCCGCTTGAGGGTTGATGCAATGATGCAGCAATTTTCAATTTTTCACGGCCAAGGCATCATGATGCCATCTGCGGAGCTGCGAATTGTACATTATAGCATTGGCCGGTTATCGCCACTGGATTGTCTTACCATCTCGGTGTCACGTTGTTGGTTCGATTCGCTTCATAATCAGAGACTGTTGCGTAGCATACAGCATTTCTGGTTGAGTCCGCAGAGCGGGAGTCACGGCTGGCCCTCACAGGGAGATTCGCACACAGGTTTGAGAACCAGTATGTGTTCGAGGGTGTGGTCTCGACGAAAGTCGGTACCCATCGTTGAAATCTTCGCTTTGGGCCATCTGGGCGTCCATTGAGGGCTCTTTCCATGTTGAGGCATCTGGGCGTCAAAGAAACGCGAATTGAGTGAGGGATGTGTTGTTTCGAGGTTCGTTTCATCCATATTGATAGTTTCTCCTCCCATCGTCTTCTTTGTCTCCTAGTCTTCGATTCGGGTTTTCGGTCGCGAAGCATAACAACTGTTAATCTTGTGGACCCTGTTAGGACAATGAATTCGTGGCGTGACTTAGGTCCACCATTTTGCAAGAATGTCCCTCAACATGTGGGAGGATGTGCCTGACACGCCCCTGCAAAAAAGACCGCGTATCCCTAATGTTTGTGGCCCTCCTAACTTGGGTCCCTTCCCGAAGGATCAGGGGTACTTGTAGTATTGCTCATGACTCGGTTTGGCCACGTCTCGAACGGGTTGGGCCACCTCAGGTCGGCAGCCTTGTGCGGACTCTGCCCGTCCAGCCGACCCTGAGGCATCAGACACCCGCGTAGGGGTTTGTCTGCTCTTTGTCACAGACGTCATTCAAACTCAGACGCCCCCCCCGGTTTTTCAAGAATATGACCTGCAGGGGGATGGGAGGGCCTACATGTGGTTGCCCATCAGAGGCGGGGAGTGGAAGAAGGTTCTAGCCATGAGTTCGAGGACCCAGGTTTTCGGACGAGTCTGGTTGACTCTCGGACCTCCGAGGTCCCCCCCTGGGAGTCCCCAGAGCGACCAGGGGGGGACCTCGGCAGGGGGGAGAGAGGGGAGGAGGGGGAGAGGTCAAAGCAGTTGCGCGGGTCACGTTTCACCAGGACTGCTCCCGTCCCGTTTGCGCAGACTTTCCGCTAGCGCGAGGCAAGGCGACGCAGCAAAAGCCAGATATTGCGCATGTGGTACGTCTTAGAAGCGCCCGCCGTTTGATTGACATTGCGCAGAGGATGCCAGCAATATGGACAGACCTTGGATTGGTTTATAGTTCGTCAGCTAGGACACCATCTATCTAGCTTCAGTTGTCTCGCTCCAGTCCAGACCTTGCTCCAGCCAGCGATCCGAGAAATTGTTGAAATGTCTAGAAATCTTGGGGTATGTTACTAAACGGCCGAACCTGTTTGGCGCGTTACCGAACCTCTTGGCACACCGCCGAAAGCATCCGACCTCAGCTACGTACCAGAAGCTTGACACCCTGTGTCACCGAAACCCGCCTCTTTCAACAGTGCCAAGCAGTAATGCTTAACGCTTCGAGTAGTCCTGCCAGCCCATCCAGGAACGACGCCCAGGGATGCTGCCCTCATCAGGGGAGTATGGCATCATTTGAAGCGCTCGGGGAGCTCCCGTGGGTCAGAGGCTTCTTGGATATTTCTCGGAGTTCGTTAGGGGATTTCTCTCGGAGGCTTCTCATGGCCTACCTGGGGCCTCCTGGCGGCTCTTCGGAGCGCATTCGGGGTCTCTAAGAAGCATCTTGGGACGTCGTGGGAGCTTAATGGCGTTCCTCAGAGCCTCTTGGGGCGTATTGCGTGCCTCTTGGGGGCCTCGTGAGGGCCGCTTGAAGAGGAGCCTCTGGAGGGCCTCTTGGGCACCTTGCGGAGCACTCTAGGGGCTTTCGTCGGAGCGGTTCGGGCTGTTTCGGGGCAATCTCGGAAGCCGTCGATCAAAAAAGCGGGGTCCTCAATTCGTCTTGCCCCCCCAAGAGGCCCAAATGGGTCCAAAGCTTGAGGAAGACGGTCTTCACCTCACACTTCCCCACGACCCTCGTGGAGGCGCGAGAACGCCTAGAAGAGGCCTCCCGGCTTCGGGGGAACGCTGGATGTCGCTTCCACCGCAAAATACTTCGGACAGTGCATCGGCCCAGGGAAAAGTCAGCGCAAGTGGGACGCCTCCCTAAAGAAATACCAGGACCGCGCGGAGATTTGGCGATCCCTGCACGTGGGCATGCTGAACACAAGCAAAGCGTACCAGATGTACGTGTCGTCGCTCTTCTCTTTCTGCGCACGCCTTGACACGTTGCCGCCGAATTCTGCCGAAGCCGACAACAAGCTGTTGCGGCGTTTGTTGTTCGGGCCCGGGGATTTGATTCCTTCTGAACTACTGAGAGGCCTCGCGCTGCTTGGCTTTCCCCGCGAGATTTTCGACGCCCAATCCACGTCGATTGCCGCTCGTGCACGAGTCACCCTGCGTGAACACTGTAAAAACGGCGTGTTTAAGGCAATAGGCAGGGCGAGCGCTCTTCGGAACCTTGCCACGGCCACCAACGCCGCCCGCATCGTCGATGTTCACGGGTGGTACCAGAGCAAGTCCCTCTTCCCGCTTGAGGACGCCGTCATTCGGACGCACAAAGCGGCCGCGGGCGAGCACGTCTTACTGAACATCCAGCGCCCTGAGCACCCGCGAGCGGGGCGGCAGGCCACAGCTGCACGCTTGCCCCGACCGGACTATGCCCTCGCAGCGCCGGCGCATCTCCGTCGCAAAGTGCACCGATGACACGCTCGAGCGCCGTCAGGGCACTGGGCGTCACGATGGATTCGCATCACCGAGACCACTTCAGACCTCGTCGCGCCGAGAGTCATGGCTGCAGCAGTGCTGACCACCTGCAATGGCTGGGTGATCGCACGTCGACTTCCCTCGTGCATCATGAGCTGCACCAGAGAGGACGCGATTGAGCATTACGCGTTCTGCCGATCCTACCATGGATGCTTCTCGCTGCACCTGGGCTTCGGGCGCCCGACTACGGCGCACTCTCTGGAGGATTTCCTCGGCATCGACCCGCCCCCATTGCCCTCGCGGGAAGAGCGCTTTGAGGGCGATCTCCATCTACGCCTTGCACATGACGCACGCGCAGGTACTGGTACGCCACGGGTTCTGGGTGACCGAGGCCGCGAACGCTTTCCGAAGTCACCTCCGCGAGGCCACGCGGCGCCACCCGAAGTCCAAGGAGTTGATGGTGAAGGCCTTCGCGGTGCGGGGCGCGCGGACAAATAGAGGCTGATTCCAAGTGCGTTTTGTTCCCGATTGCCTTGTCGCGTCCCCTCCTTATGTTTCCTCATTTTCCTGTTCCTCCTCCTCCTCCTCCTCCTCCTCCTCCTCTTCCTCCTCCTCTTCCTCTTCCTCCTCCCCCTCCTCCTCCGCCTCCTCCACCTCCTCCCCCTCCTCCACCTCCTCCTTCTCTCCTCCCCCTCCTTTCTCCTCCTCCTCCTCCTCCTGCTTCTCCCTCCTCCTGCTCCTCCTCCTCCTCCTGCTCCTCCTTATCCTGCTCCTCCTCCTCATCCTCATCATCATCATCATCCTCATCCTCCTCCTCCTCCTCCGTTTCCTCCTCCTCCTCCTCCTCCTTTTCCTCCTTTCCTCTCCTCCTCTCCTCCTCCTCCTCCTCCTCCTCCTGTTCCTCCTCCTCCTCCTCCTCGTCCTCGTCCTCCTCCTCCTCCTCCTCTCCTCCTCCTCCTCTCTCCTCCTCCTCCCCTCCTCCTCCTCCTCCTCCTTCCTCCTCCTCCTCCCTCCTCCTCCTCCTCCTCCTCCTCCTCCTCCTCCTCCTCCTCCTCCCTCCTCCTCCTCCTCCTCCTCCTCCTCCTCCTCCTCCTCCTCCTCCTCCCATTGTTGTCCAGGCAACGCGGCCGATACAAGGGCCACCAGTGGGCCGCCCGCACCCCAAGCCCGGAGCTATGGTGAGGCCCCGCTGATTTCCACGACCCGTTGGATCGCACGCGGCCGGAAGGTTGACCGCCCCAAAATCGTCACGACGACGACGATCCAGACCTCCGTAACAATGTGCATTGCAATTGATACGGTGGCCAGGGACTTTTGACTATGATGCATGTGTTCGGGCCCAATGGGACCCAGATACATCGAGAGTTAGTCTTGGGATTTTTGTGTTGGGCTCGCGCCAGTGCGCGTTATTCTCTGCGGTTGTCGGTTGCGCCGTGTTTGTCGCACTTCTGCCCGCAGCTCGCGCCGGTATACACAATTTTCAGTGCTTGTCCGTTGTCCAAAGTTTCTGAGATTTCTGCGCAAGTGTCGCGCCAACTAGCACAATTTTCAATCGTTGTCTGTTTACAAGGTTTCTGAGACTTGTGCGCATGGCGTGTGCTACCACTTTCACTGACTGTCCATCTGCATCCGGTTGCCACTCAAGCCACCGTTTTGGCTGCTGCGTGGGGCCCGATCCCACAGCAAGTTTGTGCTGCGGTCCACGAGAGCCGCCGCAGGCTGCTGGCGCCCAGCCGTGAAACATGAATCTCGGGATTTGCACACCCCTTCCCCCAAAAAATACTCACTGCGTGGGGCCCCCCATATGTGCATGTCATGTTTTATGTCATGCCATAGTGAGCGTCTGTTCACGAGCGTCCTACCCCCTGGCGACTCCTTTTTCACGGGTGCTGAAACCACCGCCCCGCTTAGACATCCTCACAATCTGCTATGAAAGTAAAATATGTTGGGCATGAAAACATGCAAGCCGCCTGAGATATCCCCACAAACTGGCCGCAAACGGGCCCGTGAGAACACCCCTGGCGGTTTCCCTTAGGGGTGTTGCAAACAGCGCCCTGCATGAGACATCCTCACAATCTGCTCTGACAGCAAAGGATGCTGGGCATGAAAACGAGCAAACCGCTGGAGACATCCCCACAAACTAGCCGCGAACGGGCCCGTGAGAACACCCCTCGCGCTTCCCCTTGAGGGTGCTGAGGCCAGCGCCCC